TTCAATCCCAGACACTGAGAGATGTTGACTACCTCGCCTGGTACGCAGGAGGTCGTGGGTTCAATCCCAGACAATGAGAGATGTTGACTACCTCGCCTGGTCTACAGGAGGTCGTGGGTTCAATCCCAGACACTGAGAGATGTTAACTACCTCGCCTGGTCTACACGAGGTCGTGGGTTCAATCCCAGACACTGAGAGATGTTGACTACCTCGCCTGGTACACAGGAGGTCGTGGGTTCAATCCCAGACAATGAGAGATGTTGTACAGGAAGTCGTGGGTTTGATCTCGACCCTGACGACGCCTGCTGCTGTATGTTTGGAGTTTGAGTATCTCTCATCATCATGGTGGCTAGCAGATGTTGATCACCTCGCCTGGTGTACAGGAGGTCGTGGGTTTGATCTCGACCCTGACGACGCCTGCTGCTGTATGTTTGGAGTTTGAGTGTCTCTCATCATCATGGTGGCTAGCAGATGTTGATCACCTCGCCTGGTACACAGGAGGTCGTGGGTTCAATCCCAGACACTGAGAGATGTTGACTACCTCGCCTGGTCTACAGGAGGTCGTGGGTTCAATCCCAGACACTGAGAGATGTTGACTACCTCGCCTGGTCTACAGGAGGTCGTGGGTTCAATCCCAGACACTGAGAGATGTTGACTACCTCGCCTGGTCTACAGGAGGTCGTGGGTTCAATCCCAGACACTGAGAGATGTTGACTACCTCGCCTGGTCTACAGGAGGTCGTGGGTTCAATCCCAGACACTGAGAGATGTTGACTACCTCGCCTGGTCTACAGGAGGTCGTGGTTCAATCCCAGACACTGAGAGATGTTGACTACCTCGCCTGGTCTACAGGAGGTCGTGGGTTCAATCCCAGACACTGAGAGATGTTGACTACCTCGCCTGGTCTACAGGAGGTCGTGGGTTCAATCCCAGACACTGAGAGATGTTGACTACCTCGCCTGGTCTACAGGAGGTCGTGGGTTCAATCCCAGACACTGAGAGATGTTGACTACCTCGCCTGGTCTACAGGAGGTCGTGGGTTCAATCCCAGACACTGAGAGATGTTGACTACCTCGCCTGGTCTACAGGAGGTCGTGGGTTCAATCCCAGACACTGAGAGATGTTGACTACCTCGCCTGGTCTACAGGAGGTCGTGGGTTCAATCCCAGACACTGAGAGATGTTGACTACCTCGCCTGGTCTACAGGAGGTCGTGGGTTCAATCCCAGACACTGAGAGATGTTGACTACCTCGCCTGGTCTACAGGAGGTCGTGGGTTCAATCCCAGACACTGAGAGATGTTGACTACCTCGCCTGGTCTACAGGAGGTCGTGGGTTCAATCCCAGACACTGAGAGATGTTGACTACCTCGCCTGGTCTACAGGAGGTCGTGGGTTCAATCCCAGACACTGAGAGATGTTGACTACCTCGCCTGGTCTACAGGAGGTCGTGGGTTCAATCCCAGACACTGAGAGATGTTGACTACCTCGCCTGGTCTACAGGAGGTCGTGGGTTCAATCCCAGACACTGAGAGATGTTGACTACCTCGCCTGGTCTACAGGAGGTCGTGGGTTCAATCCCAGACACTGAGAGATGTTGACTACCTCGCCTGGTCTACAGGAGGTCGTGGGTTCAATCCCAGACACTGAGAGATGTTGACTACCTCGCCTGGTCTACAGGAGGTCGTGGGTTCAATCCCAGACACTGAGAGATGTTGACTACCTCGCCTGGTCTACAGGAGGTCGTGGGTTCAATCCCAGACACTGAGAGATGTTGACTACCTCGCCTGGTCTACAGGAGGTCGTGGGTTCAATCCCAGACACTGAGAGATGTTGACTACCTCGCCTGGTCTACAGGAGGTCGTGGGTTCAATCCCAGACACTGAGAGATGTTGACTACCTCGCCTGGTCTACAGGAGGTCGTGGGTTCAATCCCAGACACTGAGAGATGTTGACTACCTCGCCTGGTCTACAGGAGGTCGTGGGTTCAATCCCAGACACTGAGAGATGTTGACTACCTCGCCTGGTCTACAGGAGGTCGTGGGTTCAATCCCAGACACTGAGAGATGTTGACTACCTCGCCTGGTCTACAGGAGGTCGTGGGTTCAATCCCAGACACTGAGAGATGTTGACTACCTCGCCTGGTCTACAGGAGGTCGTGGGTTCAATCCCAGACACTGAGAGATGTTGACTACCTCGCCTGGTCTACAAGAGGTCGTGGGTTCAATCCCAGACACTGAGAGATGTTGACTACCTCGCCTGGTCTACAGGAGGTCGTGGGTTCAATCCCAGACACTGAGAGATGTTGACTACCTCGCCTGGTACGCAGGAGGTCGTGGGTTCAATCCCAGACAATGAGAGATGTTGACTACCTCGCCTGGTCTACAGGAGGTCGTGGGTTCAATCCCAGACACTGAGAGATGTTAACTACCTCGCCTGGTCTACAGGAGGTCGTGGGTTCAATCCCAGACACTGAGAGATGTTGACTACCTCGCCTGGTACACAGGAGGTCGTGGGTTCAATCCCAGACAATGAGAGATGTTGTACAGGAGGTCGTGGGTTTGATCTCGACCCTGACGACGCCTGCTGCTGTATGTTTGGAGTTTGAGTATCTCTCATCATCATGGTGGCTGGCAGATGTTGACTATCTCGCCTGGTGTACAGGAGGTCGTGGGTTTGATCTCGACCCAGACGACGCCTGCTGCTGTATGTTTGGAGTTTGAGTGTCTCTCATCATCATGGTGGCTGGCAGATGTTGATCACCTCGCCTGGTGTACAGGAGGTCGTGGGTTTGATCTCGACCCTGACGACGCCTGCTGCTGTATGTTTGGAGTTTGCATATTTCTCTCCCCATGGTTGTGTGGATTTTTTTCCCGGCACCCTCCGGCTTTTCCCCTCCATGTGCATTGGCCGCTGCTATAGAAGTCCACGTGACAAGCCACTTCATTCGGCGAGGTCGCTTTCGGAAAAAAGAGCTCTCTATCTCAGTGGGCCTTGCCTGGTGAAATATATAGTGAACAGTTAGTACGTCACATGACCAAGACGTACAATTCCGCAGGCTGCAATTGACAAGACCCAGGGGGTTGGCAGCCTGACGCGTCGGAGCCGCATGCGGCCCTTTAAGGACTGCTTTGTGACGTCATTCATCACGTGCATTGAGGCCCTTTAAGGGCTGCTTTGTGACAGTCATTCATCACGTGCATTGAGGCTCTTTAAGGACTGCTTTGTGACGTCATTCATCACGTGCATTGAGGCTCTTTAAGGACTGCTTTGTGACGTCATTCATCACGTGCATTGAGGCTCTTTAAGGGTTGCTTTGTGACGTCATTCATCACGTGCATTGAGGCTCTTTAAGGGCTGCTTTGTGACGTCATTCATCACGTGCATTGAGGCTCTTTAAGGGTTGCTTTGTGACGTCATTCATCACGTGCATTGAGGCTCTTTAAAGACTGCTTTGTGACGTCATTCACCACGTGCATTGAGGCTCTTTAAGGACTGTTTTGTGACGTCAATCATCACGTGCATTGAGGCTTTTTAAGGACTGCTTTGTGACGTCATTCACCACGTGCATTGAGGCTCTTTAAGGGTTGCTTTGTGACGTCATTCATCACGTGCATTGAGGCCCTTTAAGGGTTGCTTTGTGACGTCATTCATCACGTGCATTGAGGCTCTTTAAGGGTTGCTTTGTGACGTCATTCATCACGTGCATTGAGGCTCTTTAAGGACTGCTTTGTGACAGTCATTCACCACGTGCATTGAGGTTCTTTAAGGGTTGCTTTGTGACGTCATTCATCACGTGCATTGAGGTTCTTTAAGGGTTGCTTTGTGACGTCATTCATCACGTGCATTGAGGCTCTTTAAGGACTGCTTTGTGACAGTCATTCATCACGTGCATTGAGGTTCTTTAAGGGTTGCTTTGTGACGTCATTCATCACGTGCATTGAGGTTCTTTAAGGGTTGCTTTGTGACGTCATTCATCACGTGCATTGAGGCCCTTTAAGGGTTGCTTTGTGACGTCATTCATCACGTGCATTGAGGCTCTTTAAGGACTGCTTTGTGACAGTCATTCACCACGTGCATTGAGGCTCTTTAAGGACTGCTTTGTGACGTCATTCATCACGTGCATTGAGGCTCTTTAAGGGTTGCTTTGTGACAGTCATTCACCACGTGCATTGAGGCTCTTTAAGGACTGCTTTGTGACGTCATTCATCACGTGCATTGAGGCTCTTTAAGGGTTGCTTTGTGACAGTCATTCACCACGTGCATTGAGGCTCTTTAAGGACTGCTTTGTGACGTCATTCATCACGTGCATTGAGGCTCTTTAAGGGCTGCTTTGTGACAGTCATTCACCACGTGCATTGAGGCTCTTTAAGGACTGCTTTGTGACGTCATTCATCACGTGCATTGAGGCTCTTTAAGGGTTGCTTTGTGACAGTCATTCACCACGTGCATTGAGGCTCTTTAAGGACTGCTTTGTGACGTCATTCATCACGTGCATTGAGGCTCTTTAAGGGTTGCTTTGTGACAGTCATTCACCACGTGCATTGAGGCTCTTTAAGGACTGCTTTGTGACGTCATTCATCACGTGCATTGAGGCTCTTTAAGGGCTGCTTTGTGACAGTCATTCACCACGTGCATTGAGGCTATTTAAGGACTGCTTTGTGACAGTCATTCATCACGTGCATTGAGGTTCTTTAAGGACTGCTTTGTGACGTCATTCATCACGTGCATTGAGGTTCTTTAAGGACTGCTTTGTGACGTCATTCACCACGTGCATTGAGGCTCTTTAAAGACTGCTTTGTGACGTCATTCATCACGTGCATTGAGGTACAGTTCTCGCAATCATCCATAAGTTGAGCTTTGCCGGGAGAAAAGCGCCGAGTAGTTAAGATTTGAGTTCTTGCCGAGGCAGACTTAAGTATCGCTGAAAGTTTTCCTCGACGCTTTTTCATTTTCGAGTCACTGGCAGAGTGAAGGCCTTGGAGAAGTCGTACTGCACCCAGCTAAGAGTTGTGAGCTGAGACGTGGAACAGGTGGAGATTTGAGTGGCACACCGATAGAGTGCCCGAGCGACAGGCTGTAAAAGTTGTTGGTTAAGCCCAGTGACTTGACGTTGTATGTGGTGGAGAGGCCAGGGGAGAGGGGGGGGGTGTGGTCACGTGCTGGCTGCTGTCCGAGGCTGCTCTACAGGCAGCGTGCTGGGCCCGACACGCCGTGTTTGAATGTTGAAGCGAGATTCATCGATGTCGTCACGATTGACAATACAAAACCCTAGACAACGAGAGAGCCAGTAACAAGTCGCGATACACTTTGTGCACAATCGCAAATAATCATAAACATACATATTAGTCAAGAATATAAATCACAACAATAATACTCTTTGGTTCTTTCGGTAGTCACATAGGTATAAAATAAAATGTGTTGCGCCCGAAACAGGACTTTACTGAAAGAACCAAAGAGTATGGATTCTTGCAGTCACGAAAACTTCAAATAACAATAATAACACACACAACAAACACGTTTTTGTAATGACACATCTAACATTACATTGCACAATCAACATTTCTGAAAACTTTCGAATTTTCACAATGCAATTATTAAAATTACAATGGATCTCTGTGGGAGTCTATGGGTCTCTGTATGATGAGTCTACGGGTCTTTGTGAATATGTGGGTCTCTGTGTGACAAGTCGATGGTCTCTGTGGTGAGTCTATGGGTCTCTGTATGAGTCTATGGGTCTCTGTGGTGAGCCTATGGGTCTCTGTATGAGTCTATGGGTCTGTGAGTATATGGGTCTCTGTATGACGAGTCTATGGGTCTCTTTGTGAGTCTATGGGTCTCTAAATGATGAGTCTTTGTGTATGTGTGATTAGTCTATGGGTATCTGCGTGATGAATCTATTGGTCTGCGTGACGAGTCTATGGGTCTCTTTGTGAGTCTATGGGTCTCTGTATGACGACTCTATGGCTCTGTGAGTCTATGGGTCTCTAAATGATGAGTCTATGGGTATGTGTGATTAGTCTATGGGTATCTGCGTGATGAATCTATTGGTCTGCGTGACGAGTCCATGGGTCTCTTTGTGAGTCTATGGGTCTCTAAATGACGAATCTATGGGTCTCTGTGGTGAGCCTATGGGTCTCTGTATGAGTCTATGGGTCTGTGAGTATATGGGTCTCTGTATGACGAGTCTATGGCTCTGCGTGAGTCTATGGGTCTCTGTATGAGTCTATGGGTCTCTAAATGATGAGTCTATGGGTCTCTGTGGTGAGCCTATGGGTCTCTGTATGAGTCTATGGGTCTGTGAGTATATGGGTCTCTGTATGACGAGTCTATGGGTCTCTTTGTGAGTCTATGTGTCTCTAAATGATGAGTCTATGGGTATGTGTGATTAGTCTATGGGTATCTGCGTGATGAATCTATTGGTCTGCGTGACGAGTCTATGGGTCTCTGTGTGAGTCTATGGGTCTCTATGTTACATTATACACTAGTGAGTGGGTGGGTGGCCAGCAATACGGCTGAACGCATTTGTCTCCCTAGGGGGCGATGTTTACAAACCGCACCGGGTATACAGGATATATATTTACGTGATCTATAACTCCCCCTCCCCCCCAAAAAAGGCGCACAAATGGATCCCTGGAATGTGACCAAAGTCATTTTCCATTTAAAGCTTTCGTGACTGCAGGGATTCATCTTCTTGTTTTTTTCGGTAAAGTCGTCACGTAGAAGGGAAGTAATAAAATAATAAAAATGAAACATAATAAAATAATTCTCACGACGTTTCGGCCACAACGCAAGCAGCCGTCTTCAGCTGAAGACGGCTGCTTGCGTTGTAGCTACGTGACTTTACCGAAAAAACCAAGAAGATGAGTCGTTTTCCAGTTTACTAAACGAACACATTTTTTCCCCCGCTAATGCCGACCAAGCTAAATAACCCCTTTTTCAAAAGCAACGGGGTCATCACAAGTGACAATCTCGATGTTCATCATCCTGCTTCACGCCGACTCCATCCACCAGGAGGTCGCCACCTGGAGTCGAACGCTGACCTTCACGCTTCACCGTTGTCTCTTCTTCACACTTCACCATCACTCCTGGCCACGTAGCGAAGTTGTCATTTTCTTCCGGTTCTTGTTTTATGAGAGATGGACTCATGGGAGCAGTACTTTGACCATCGCAAGTAGATTTCACCCTCTCGTGGACCTTCTCATGCTTCTTTCGTTGTCCTGAATCAATAAACCCTTTTCCACACACGGTGCACTTGTAGAGCTTCTCGCCCGTGTGCGTTCTCTTGTGAATCCGAAGATAGTTTGAGTAGATAAATGCCTTCCCACAGACGGTGCACTTGTAGGGCTTCTCACCCGTGTGTGTTCTCTCGTGAACTCGAAGAGAACTTGATTGTACAAATGCCTTCCCACACATAGTGCACTTGAATGACTTCTCACCTGTGTGCGTTCTCCGATGAATCCGAAAATAGTTTGAGTAGGCAAATGCCTTCCCACAGACGGTGCACTTGTAGGGCTTCTCACCCGTGTGCGTTCTCTCGTGATTTTGAAGAGTTTCTGAACGACCAAAAGCCTTCATGCACACAGTGCACTTGTAGGGCTTCTCACCCGTGTGCGTTCTCTCGTGATTTTGAAGAGTTTCTGAACGACCAAAAGCCTTCATGCACACAGTGCACTTGTAGGGCTTCTCGCCCGTGTGCGTTCTCTCGTGATTTTGAAGAGTTTCTGAACGACCAAAAGCCTTCATGCACACAGTGCACTTGTAGGGCTTCTCACCCGTGTGCGTTCTCTCGTGATTTTGAAGAGTTTCTGAACGACCAAAAGCCTTCATGCACACAGTGCACTTGTAGGGCTTCTCACCCGTGTGTGTTCTCTCGTGATTTTGAAGAGTTTCTGAACGACCAAAAGCCTTCATGCACACAGTGCACTTGTAGGGCTTCTCGCCCGTGTGCGTTCTCTCGTGATTTTGAAGAGTTTCTGAACGACCAAAAGCCTTCATGCACACAGTGCACTTGTAGGGCTTCTCACCCGTGTGCGTTCTCTCGTGATTTTGAAGAGTTTCTGAACGACCAAAAGCCTTCATGCACACAGTGCACTTGTAGGGCTTCTCACCAGTGTGCGTTCTCTCGTGAACTCGACAATTTGATGAACATACAAAAGCCTTCCCACACACGGCGCACTTGAATGGCTTTTCGCCCGTGTGCGTTCTCTCATGCAGCTTCATGTGTCCAGGGCGATTCGTGCTGTAGGGACACCGGTCGCATTGATGCCTTTTAGCACGGCGCTCTGTCGAGGGCTTTCTCCATGCGATCGACTCTGCAAATATACCTGACATTTAATTTGGAGCTTTCGTGACTGCAGGGATTATTCTTTGGTTCTTTCGGTAAAGTCGCGTCTAAAGATAAAATAATTACTTAAATTAAATACTAGCATACAAAAGTTTTGATTGCAACAAAAGCAATCATCATCAGGAATAAATTAAATAGAAACACAAATCTAGTATACTTAGAAATGTAATGTAATACAACAGAGAGGCGGATAACATAACAGTCAACACCCTACCTATACACTACTACGCTACACTATACACTACACTATACACTACTATACACTACTACACTACACTATACACTACACTATACACTACTACACTATACTATACACTACTACACTACACTATACACTACACTATACACTACTACACTACACTATACACTACATTATACACTACTACACTATACACTACACTATACACTACTACACTACACTATACACTACACACTACACTACACTATACACTACTACAACAGAGAGTCGAGTAACATAACAGTCAACACCCTACCTGGTTGATTACGTTCTTCCTGAGAATGCTAAATTTGAGAGAGAGATTTAATCTCTCTCAACCAGATAGGGTGTTGACTGTTATGTTACCCGACTCTCTGTTATATTACATTACATTTCCAAGTATACTAGATTTGTTTTTCTATTTAATTTATACCTGATGATTGCTTGCTTGTGTTGCAATCGAAACGTCGTATGCTAGTATTTAATTCAATTTAATATTTTATCTTTATACGTGACTTTACCGAAAGAACCAAAGAATTATACCTTACACACATGAAATCGACTGCAGATATACGTTACACGTTACAACATGCACACACGCACTACAGAGACATCCCCCGTGTGCAGGGAGCCCCCCCCCCCCTGCATCCCTCCTCCCTGGCTCCTCCCCCTTCTCACCCTACTATATAAGAGCGTGTCACTCAGAGCTCTCTGCTCACGGCAGTGATTGTGCTCTGGTTGTCCCACCTGATGACGGACGCTTGTGTTGCCTCCGAAACGTCGCGACTTTATTATTTTCATATTCTTGGTTCTTTCGGTAAAGTCACGGAGAAGGGAAATAATAAAATAAAATTTTAAATATATGATAGCTTGTGTTGCAGTCGAAACGTCATGAGAATTTTAATTGTTTTATATTATTTTATTATTTCCCTTCTACGTGACTTTACCTAAAGAACCAAAGAGTATAAACCTCCAGATATTAAGAGAAAGGTATAAAAAACAGATTTTATTATAATTTGTAATAATTAAATAATAATGAAATTGTTATTATTTTTACTAATTAAAGAATTATAAAGTTATTAAGAGAAAAGTAAAAAATAAAAACATTTTATTATTTTTCTTTAATTTTGTTTTCCTTTTGTAAATATTACTGAGGGGGGGGGGGGAGGGCACAGAACATGTAGTCCAGGGGCCTACACAATCTTAATCCGGCCCTGCCCATGTGCAGCCTTCATTGTGTTGGGGCAGTGAGTGTGACATTGTCAGTGTGTGTGTGAGATGTCAGTGTGTGTGAGTGTGATTGTGAGATTGTGAGTGAGAGTGTGTCAGTGTGTGAGATTAGGAGTGTGAGATTGTCAGAGTGAGTGTGAGATTGTGAGTGTGTGAGAGTGAGTGAGATTGTGAGTCAGTGTGAGATTGTGAGGTAGTGTGAGTCAGTGTGAGTGAGTGTGAGATTGTGAGTGAGTGTGAGATTGTGAGTGTGTGAGAGTGAGTGAGATTGTGAGTCAGTGTGAGATTGTGAGGTAGTGTGAGTCAGTGTGAGTGAGTGTGAGATTGTGAGTGAGTGTGAGATTGTGAGTGTGTGAGAGTGAGTGAGATTGTGAGTCAGTGTGAGATTGTGAGGTAGTGTGAGTCAGTGTGAGTGAGTGTGAGATTGTGAGTGAGTGTGAGATTGTCAGTGTGTGTGAGAGTGAGTGAGAGTGTGTCAGTGTGAGTGTAAGATTGTGAGTGTGTGAGATTGTCAGAGTGAGTGTGTCAGTGTGTGAGATTGTCAGAGTGTGTGAGGGTGAGTGTGTAAGAGTGAGTGTGTAAGAGTGTGAGCGTGTGAGATAGTGAGTGAGAGTGTAAGTGTGTAAGAGTGTGTGAGCTAGTGAGTGAGCTAGTGAGTGAGATAGTGAGTGTGTGTGTGATAGTGAGTGTGTAGGAGTGAGCTAGTGATAGTGAGTGTAAGTGTGTAAGTGTGAGTAAGAGTAAGTGATAGTGAGTGTGAGTGAAAGTGGTGCCACGCACCGCTGGCGAATCGCCGAGCTGACATTTTGCACACAGACTCGTTGTGCGTGACAATTAATGTTCGTGAAAAAAATTCACAAATTTTACACTGTTTAGGGAAAACAAATTAAATATTTAATTACCAATTGCTTAATACTGGCAGACAATCATCTGACCCATAGGTGGCAGCCATCTCAAGCCAGAGGACGAGAGGACTCTAGCCGCCACGCATATAAAGGATTTATAGTGAAAAACTTTGTTTTTACGGGTTTACTTGTTAAATCCTTTATATTAAGTTCACTTGCTTGCATGCTTGCGTGCTTGCTTGCTTGCTTACGACCGTGCAAATCTTTCGGTCGTTTTTTAACCCACTTCCCGTGATCCAATCGAGCTGACATTTTGCACACAGACTCGTTGTGCGTGACAATTAATGTTCGTGAAAAAAAAATTCACAAATTTTACACTGTTTAGGGAGTTTTTAAAAAATATTTCATTACCAATTGCTTAATGGTGGCAATCATCTGACCCATAGGTGGCAGCCATCTCAAGCCAGAGGACGAGAGGACTCTAGTAGCCGCCACGCATATAAAGGATTTATAGTGAAAAACTTTGTTTTTACGGGTTAATTTTTTGGTGGTGAAGTCAGCAGCGGTTGTACTTGAGGAAGACTTAGCCCCTGCCGTGGGATGGCTGCGATGCTCACCGCTCGCTCAGTGCCATCAACACATCGGGGTGGGAAACCTTTTGTGACCGTTTGAAGGAAGTTTCAGGTCGTAGAATCGGACACAGCGCCCGGTGGCTGGGGCACAGATTGCCCATCAAAAAGTTGTAGTTTTAAAAATCATCTCTCGGGGGGTCGATAAAGCGAGTATTACTTTGTGGAAAGCAAACAGAGGTTGTCCTGTATCGGTGTTTTTCACTCATTCTCATAGCGGGGGACCACTTTGGCCATGAAGGCATCATCAGTGTGGTGAGGGCCACCACACGCTTGAAACCATTTGGGGTTTCGACAGCAGCATGATTGGGGGGGGGGTGTGTTTTCACATTTGCGTCATGTCGCTGGTGGCCTTGTGATGAAGAAGTCTGCGGCCTATACAATACACCCACCCTGCTGCTGCTGTGGCAATGTGCACATGTCCCACCACCGACTCACAGCTCGGCAGGCACATGATGTATCTATTGTTTTGAATTACTATTAGATGGGGCACTGCCCCAGAGGTCGCAGACGGGTTTTGTTTCCTTACCCGTACCTGGCCGCACCAGGGTCGCAAATGGATACCCGTACCCGGCCGGGTACGGGTACCCAGCCGGGTACGGGTAGCCATTCCCTACCCGTACCCTACCCGAAATGAGTGACAAATGGTTACTCACCAGTGACTCACGGCCTACCCGTACCTGGCCGCACCAGGGTCGCGAACGGCTACCCGTACTCGGTCGGGTACGGGTAGCCGTGTATCGGGTAGGGTACGGGTATCGGGTACCCGGTTGCGACCTCTGCACTGCCCCAACGCTCATTCGAGTGCAACAATCACACGCGCTTTGAACGTGGGCTGACTCACAGAGCCGCGCTGTGAGAACCCCACGGCCCCCAGTCAAAGTCGCTCCAACCACGACGCTTCGACGACGGCACGCCGAGCCGGCGAGCACCCGGGTGAGGGTTGACAATCAACACCTGGGGGTGGTGTGAAGAGAACGAGGTGGGTCCGTGCAGTGGCTCGTTCGTCGAGGGCGAGACTAAGCTGTCTCGGGTGTGGACCAATCAACTTCAAGGACAGTGCATACATTATCAGAGTTGTGTTTTTTGTTTGCATTATGGCTGCAGGTATTGTGGTCTATGCAAACATGGCTCCTTGTAAAAAAGGTGTGAGTTTTGTTGCCAGATAGAAGGGTACAAAAACCAATTATCATATTTTTTACTGGCAAATGAGGTTCCAATGGTGTAAATGTTTACCCCGAGCTCTCATACTCTGATGGTGCATTGTCTTTGAGTTGTGCGCCTTTTGGCATCATCTGGTCCAACCCAGGTGAGACTAGGCTCTAAGGAAAGCTGTCTCGGGTGTGGACCAATCAACTTCAAGGACAGTGCATACATTATCAGAGTTGTGTGTTTTGTTTGCATTACGACTGCAGGTATTGTGGTCAATGCAAACATGACTCCTTGTAAAAAAGGTGTCAGTTTTGTTGCCAGATAGAAGGGTACAAAAACAATTATCATGCTTCTGTTTACTTAATGGGAGAACGTTAACTTCAAACTCTGGATAAGCGCTAGAAATGGAAGTGTGCGTCTCTTGTCCTAAGAGAGGATCGCGCATACGGGAGTTGCACACCGACACCCCCCTCGCCAGCATTGCAGAACAATGCGATCATTACGATAAAGACGCTGAGATTTATTTCTGAGTTTTAATGTATAAATTCAAGTCTTGGCAACCTTGGCTGCGTCGGTAAACAAAATGTATTCAAATGAAAGCTCGTTAAAAACGGGGTTGTACATCCAGGAGAAATACACTGACGTTTGTCAAACAGCAACTTGCAAAGAGAACGCTAAAATGCACCGCTAAAATAGTACGCGCAGTACAACGCAGGCCAGTGAGTGGTCTGGACGAATTTGTTAAAATGTTACAAATATCTCGCTCAAACAGTATTAATACTGACTCATGTTCTGGCTGGCAATTGTAAACAACAACAACAACTTTAAATTTCGATTTAAAGCTTTCGTAGAAGGGAAATAATAAAATAATAAAAATAAAACATTTAAATAAATCTCACGACGTTTCGGCCACAACGCAAGCAGCCGTCCTCAGGTGAAGAACAGGTCTGTCGGAAAGACAGCGTCTAAATGAACAGGTCTGTCGGAAAGACAGTAGGAAAGACAGACCTGTTCATTCAGACGCTGTCTTTCCGACAGACCTGGTCTTCACCTGAGGACGGCTGCTTGCGTTGTGGCCGAAACGTCGTGAGAATTATGTTATTATGTTTTATTTTTATTATTTTATTATTTCCCTTCTACGTGACTTTACCGAAAGAACCAAGAAGAACAACAACAACAACGTCATTCTACTTGCATGTAAAACGGAATGAATAAACTACAAAGATGACAACGTGTAAACAAACAAACACCGCAGCTTCAGAGAGACGACAACAATCGAGGAGGAATTGCACAAACAGTGTAAACTACACAAGCTGCGTGCTATGTCAAATAACACTGCGTGAAAGTTTAGCAGAATACTTTTATCTTTTCAAGACTAGCGAAAGCAAAGCTTTAACATTTTAAACATTGAGTAACGCTGCTTTTGTAAAAGACGGCACTGGTATAAAAGACTTTTTTTCCAGATCGTTCTTGTATCTTCCATCTACAGATGTTCCTAATCATAGCATTATCTATCCACATTTAACATGCCCATTCCTAACTCCGTTTTCCCCCTCTTTGCAATCATTTTAATACGAAAAAACACCTCGCCCCTAGTACCCACTTTATTCCAACAGCACTTCAGTTAGTCCAGAAATACCTTTGCTCAAAAAACATCCTGCATTCACAAAACACATTTCAGGCACGGCAGTGGTCTGCTTGCGACACATTTGTTCTCAGAGCGACCGGCGAGTTATCACGAGTCAAAGCATCGTTAATTTTGGAGCTTTCGTGACTGCAGGAATGATTCTTTGGTTCTTTCGGTAAAGTCACGTCTAAAGATAAAATAATAAATTAAATAATAGCATACGACGTTTCGATTGCAACACAAGCAATCATCGTCAGGTATAAATGAAATAGCAACAAAAAATCTAACCAGAAAACTATAGACAGACAAATTAATTTAGTGTGTTCTTTCTCCCTCTCTCCTAATGTTCAAGCCTGCGTACATTACTACGCGTCTTCTTCGTACTCATTGACATGTACATTTTGTCTCTAACCCCTCCCTCTGTCTGCCTCCGCCCCCCTCTGTCTATATGAGGCCACCCCACAGAGACGATCTCCCCTCTCTGTGCCTGTGTTACTCTCTCTCTGTGTATCTTGGTGATGTCTGTCTGCTTACATGTCTGTCTATAGTTTTCTATTTAAGGCCACCCCACAGAGACGATCACCTCTCTCTGTACCTGTGTTACTCTCTCTCTGTGTATCTTGGTGATGTCTGTCTGCTTATATGTCTGTCTATAGTTTTCTATTTAAGGCCACCCCACAGAGACGATCACCCCTCTCTGTGCCTGTGTTACTCTCTCTCTGTGTATCTTGGTGATATCTGTCTGCTCATATGTCTGTCTATAGTTTTCTGGTTAGATTTGTTGTCGCTATTTCATTTATACCTGACGACGATTGCGTGTGTTGCAATCGAAACGTCGTAGTATGCTATTATTTAATTTATTATTTTATCTTTAGACGCGACTTTACCGAAAGAACCCAAGAACAAAGTATCGCCGTCACTCGCCCCGTCAGTGCCGCCATTTTGTTTTCTTGGCCTTCACCCATCGCAGGATCGTCTCCGTCGGCACGGCTCAACTCAACGGCGGGAACTCTCTCTTTGTTTCCCACGGCCCCCCCCCCCCCCGCGCATCCTCCCACTCTCCAACCTCACCACTCATCCACCCACTCACCAACCTCACCCAATCACCCACCCACTCACTCACCCACCCACTCATTCACTCACTCACCAACCCTCTCACTCACCCACCCACCCACTCACCCACCCACTCATCCACCCACTCACCAACCTCACCACTCATCCACCCACTCACCAACCTCACCCAATCACCCACCCACTCACTCACCCACCCACTCATTCACTCACTCACCAACCCTCTCACTCACCCACCCACCCACTCACCCACCCACTCATCCACCCACTCACCAACCTCACCACTCATCCACCCACTCACCAACCTCACCCAATCACCCACCCACTCACTCACCCACCCACTCATTCACTCACTCACCAACCCTCTCACTCACCCACCCACCCACCCACTCACCCACCCACTCACCAACCTAACCACTCATCCACCCACTCACCAACCTCACCCAATCACCCACCCACTCACTCACCCACCCACTCATTCACTCACTCACCAACCCTCTCACCCACCCACCCACTCACCCACCCACTCATCCACCCACTCACCAACCTCACCACTCATCCACCCACTCACCAACCTCACCCAATCACCCACCCACTCACTCACCCACCCACTCATTCACTCACTCACCAACCCTCTCACTCACCCACCCACCCACTCACCCACCCACTCATCCACCCACTCACCAACCTCACCACTCATCCACCCACTCACCAACCTCACCCAATCACCCACCCACTCACTCACCCACCCACTCATTCACTCACTCACCAACCCTCTCACTCACCCACCCACCCACTCACCCACCCACTCATCCACCCACTCACCAACCTCACCACTCATCCACCCACTCACCAACCTCACCCAATCACCCACCCACTCACTCACCCACCCACTCATTCACTCACTCACCAACCCTCTCACTCACCCACCCACCCACTCACCCACCCACTCATCCACCCACTCACCAACCTCACCACTCATCCACCCACTCACCAACCTCACCCAATCACCCACCCACTCACTCACCCACCCACTCATTCACTCACTCACCAACCCTCTCACTCACCCACCCACCCACTCACCAACCTCACCACTCATCCACCCACTCACCAACCTCACCCAATCACCCACCCACTCACTCACCCACCCACTCATTCACTCACTCACCAACCCTCTCACTCACCCACCCACCCACTCACCCACCCACTCACCAACCTCACCACTCATCCACCCACTCACCAACCTCACCCAATCACCCACCCACTCACTCACCCACCCACTCATTCACTCACTCACCAACCCTCTCACTCACCCACCCACTCACCAACCTCACCACTCACCCACCCACTCACCAACCTCACCACTCATCCACCCACTCACCCACCCACCCACTCATTCACTCACTCACCAACCCTCTCACTCACCCAACCACTCACTCACCCCCCCACTCATCGACCCACTCACCCACCTCACCACTCATCCACCCACTCACCAACCTCACCCAATCACCCACCCACTCACTCACCCACCCACTCATTCACTCACTCACCAACCCTCTCACTCATCCACCCACCCACTCACCCATCCACTCATCCACCCACTCACCAACCTCACCACTCATCCACCCACTCACCAACCTCACCCAATCACCCACCCACTCACTCACCCACCCACTCATTCACTCACTCACCAACCCTCTCACTCACCCACCCACCCACTCACCCACCCACTCATCCACCCACTCACCAACCTCACCACTCATCCACCCACTCACCAACCTCACCCAATCACCCACCCACCCACTCACCCACCCACTCATCCACCCACTCACCAACCCTCTCACTCACCCACCCACCCACTCACCCACCCACTCATCCACCCACTCACCAACCTCACCACTCATCCACCCACTCACCAACCTCACCCAATCACCTACCCACTCACTCACCCACCCACTCATTCACTCACTCACCAACCCTCTCACTCACCCACCCACCCACTCACCCACCCACCCACCCACCCACTCACCAACCTCACCACTCATCCACCCACTCACCAACCTCACCCAATCACCCACCCACTCACTCACCCACCCACTCATTCACTCACTCACCAACCCTCTCACTCACCCACCCACCCACTCACCCACCCACTCATCCACCCACTCACCAACCTCACCACTCATCCACCCACTCACCAACCTCACCCAATCACCCACCCACTCACTCACTCACCCACTCATTCACTCACTCACCAACCCTTCACTCACCCACCCACCCACTCACCCACCCACTCATCCACCCACTCACCAACCTCACCACTCATCCACCCACTCACCAACCTCACCCAATCACCCACCCACTCACTCACCCACCCACTCATTCACTCACTCACCAACCCTCTCACTCACCCACCCACCCACTCACCCACCCACTCATCCACCCACTCAGCAACCTCACCACTCATCCACCCACTCACCAACCTCACCCAATCACCCACCCACTCACTCACCCACCCACTCATTCACTCACTCACCAACCCTCTCACTCACCCACCCACCCACTCATCCACCCACTCACCAACCTCACCACTCATCCACCCACTCACCAACCTCACCCAATCACCCACCCACTCACTCACCCACCCACTCATTCACTCACTCACCAACCCTCTCACTCACCCACCCACCCACTCATCCACCCACTCACCAACCTCACCACTCATCCACCCACTCACCAACCTCACCCAATCACCCACCCACTCACTCACTCACCCACTCATTCACTCACTCACCAACCCTCTCACTCACCCACCCACCCACCCACTCACCCACCCACTCATCCACCCACTCACCAACCTCACCACTCATCCACCCACTCACCAACCTCACCTAATCACCCACCCACTCACTCACCCACCCACTCATTCACTCACTCACCAACCCTCTCACTCACCCACCCACCCACTCACCCACCCACCCCCCCGCGCATCCTCCCACTCCGCCCCGCATCCGTCATCCCCCTCGTCGAGCTCTTCCGTCGCTCCCGGCGCCCCCAAATCCGCTCCCGGCGCGCCCGGCTGCCCGGGGTCGCCGCAGCACAAGTAGCGGCGGTGCACGTGCTGCGAGTAGCCGCCCGAGTGCGAGAAGCGCCGGCCGCAGCGCCCGCAGCGGTACGGCTTCTCGCCCGAGTGCAGCCGCGAGTGCTCGATCAGGTGCTGCTTGTGCCTGAACGCCTTGCTGCACACCTCGCAGCGGTGGGGACGCCTGCCTGCGACGGACAGGGAACGGCGGGGCGGGGTTATCGCACTCGCACGGCATGCAGGCGCTCGTGGGTTCGAACCGGGCGCTGATAGCCCGCTGTATATTTGCATACTCTTAGTTTTTTCGGTAAAGTCACGTAGGTAAAAAACGAAATAAAAATTCATAAAAATAAAATAATAAAAATCACGACGTTTCGGAGGCAACACAAGTCTCCGTCATCAGGTGGGGACCGTCACAGCCGGATTTGTTGTATACAGCCTCCGAAACGTCGTGATTTTTATTATTTTATTTTTATAAATTTTAATTTTATTTTTTACCTACGTGACTGTACCAAAAAAACTAAGAGTATGAATCCTTGCAGTCACGAAAGCTTCAAATCTAGAAGTATATTTGCAGTTTGCGTGTTCTCTCTCCCCATGGTGGCGTGCGTTTTCCTCCAGGTGTGTTGGGTTTTTTTCACCCCCCCCCCCCCCACACATTTATAAACATGCATTTAGATTATTTGGCTGCTGTGAATTTCCACGCGAAAAGCCACTTAATTGGGCTACGATTCGTGATCGCAAGGTCGCGTCTGAAAAAGAGCTGCATAGCTCAGTGGGCCTTACCTGGTAAAAATAAGAGTTAGTCGGGTTTTTTAGTAAAATAAAACATCAGCGAGGCTAGGGAGGCTGCGAGATTCACTTCACGTGGCTGACGGTATGAAACCAGGGCGGTAAACACAGCGGTGCCCACTGGGGATACTCTTCACCGCCGACATGATAAGCCTCAACATGAAATCGGTTTTACAAATCAACACCAGAAACCAAAAATACCCATGCGGGCGCACGCACGCACACACACACACGCCCACACGCACACGCACACACACACGCACTCGCACACACGCACGCACACTCGCACACACGCACGCACACACGCACGCCCAACCGCGCACACACACACACGCACACACACGCACGCACGCACGCACACCCACACACGCACACACGCACGCACGCACACACGCACACACACACGCACGCACACACGCACACACACACGCACACACACACGCACGCACGCACGCACACACGCACACGCGCACACGCACGCCCAACCGCGCACACAATCGTGTTAGTGGCCGACGCCGGTTCATTACACGGCGTGTCCGTCACGCCGTTCATTCTTCCATTTCGTTCAAAAAATTCAGCGAGGATAACAAGTGCCGACGGTCGCGCGCCATCCGATTATTACAATTCATCACCTGCCTCCGCCTCCGGAGAAGACGCGCGAGAGCGGCGCACGACGGACGAAACCCGCCGCCCGTGAGCGCAAGCGCGCGGGGACGCGACGCCGCGTACCTGCGCGCTCGTACTTGTGCCGCAGCGGCAACAACGGGCCGCTCTCCTGGAAGGTTTCGTCGGACAGGTCGCGGGCGAACGAGCCTCCGGGCACGCGCTCCGCCCTCCTCTGCCGCTTGCGCGCGGGAGCTCCCGAGTCTGTCACCGCGACCGAGTCCACGGGGACTCCCTCTCCCCGCTCAGGAGACTCTCCCTGTGGAGCGCGATCGACGGTGAGACGCCGAGGTTAACCGACGGAATTTCGTCTCCTTTGCGTATTTGCCTCTCAGCTACCCACTCGGCCACCCACTCAGCCACCCACTCAGCTACCCATCCACTCAGCTACCCATCCGCTCGGCCACCCACTCAACCACCCACTCAGCTACCCATCTGCTCATCCAACCACTCGGCTACCCACTTAGCCACCCACTCAGCTACCCACTCAACTACCCACTCAACTACCCACTCAGCCACCCACTCAGCTACCCACCCACTCAGCCACCCACTCAGCTACCCACCCACTCAGCCACCCACTCAGCTACCCACTCAGCCACCCACTCAACTACCCACTCAGCTATCCACCCACTCAGCTATCCACCCACTCAGCTATCCACCCACTCAGCCACCCACTCAGCTACTCACTCACTCAGCCACTCACTCAACTACCCACTCAACTATCCACCCACTCAGCCACCCACTCAGCAACCCACTCAACCACCCACTCATCGAGCCACTCAGCTACCCACCTGCTCATCTACCCAACCACTCGGCTACCCACTCAGCCAACCTTTCAGCTACACACTTAGCCACCCACTCAGCTACTCACTCACTCAGCTACCCACCTACTCAACTACCCACTCAGCTATCCACCCACTCAGCTATCCACCCACTCAACCACCCGCTCAGCGAGCCACTCAGCGCCCATCCGCTCAGCTACCCACCTGCTCATCCAACCACTCGGCTACCCACTCAGCCAACCTTTCAGCTACACACTTAGCCACCCACTCAGCCACTCACCCAGCTACCCACCTACTCAACTACCCACTCAGCTATCCACCCACTCAGCTACTCACTCAGCTAATCACTCACTCAGCTACTCACTCACTCAGCTACTCACCCACTCAGCTATCCACTCACTCAGCTACTCACTCAGCTACTCACTCACTCAGCTACTTACTCACTCAGCTACCCACTCACTCAGCTACTCACTCACCCAGCTACAATCACTCAGCTACATCCTTATGGATGTGCACAATGTCAGCAGCGTTGATTCAGAACAAGCAGATTCTGGGATCGAAATTCGACATACAGTGTCTCATCAGCAGAGGCAGACTCGCCTGCATCAAGATTTTATCTGCAGGGACATTCTCTTTAATACGTGGATCCTAGTTCGACGCAACATCACGTAACACGAAGGATATCAGCAACGAAACATTCACGCATCTTCTTAGGTTTTTTCGGTAAAGTCACGTAGGTAAAACATCAAAATTAATGAAAATAAAATAAAAATAAAATAAAAATCACGACGTTTCGGAGGCAACACAAGTCTCCGTCATCAGGTGGGACCGTCACAGCCGGATTAGCTGCATCAAGTGAGGCAGTGATTCAAGACGTAATCCCTTATCATTGCCTCACTTGATGCAGCTAATCCGGCTGTGACGGTCCCACCTGATGACGGACACTTGTGTTGCCTCCGAAACGTCGTGATCTTTATTTTATTTTCATTAATTTTGATGTTTTACCTACACGGTGACTTTACCGAAAAAACCTAAGAATATGAATCCTTGCAGTCACGAAAGCTTCAAATCTAGAATTCACGCATCTATCTCTCCGCACAATGAACAAGGTTCAACACGTGAATTGTAAACACAAGGCGGCACCACCGGTGCGCGTGTGCTTCCGTGTTGGTTCAACAGCGCAACCTCCAAGCAGTTTATTCTTTGGTTCTTTCGATAAAGTCACGTATAAAGATAAAATAATAAATTAAATTAAATACTAGCGTACGACTTTTCGATTGCAACACAAGCAATCGTCATCAGGTATAAATTAAATAGAAACACAAATCTAGTAGACTTAGAAATGTAATGTAATACAACAGAGAGGCGGATAACATAACAGTCAACACCCTACCTATACACTACTACGCTACACTATACACTACACTATACACTACTACACTACACTATACACTACACTATACACTACTACACTACACTATACACTACACTATACACTACTACACTACACTATACACTACACTATACACTACTACACTACACTATACACTACTACACTACACTACACACTACACTATACACTACTACACTACACTATACACTACTACACTACACTATACACTACACTATACACTACACTATACACTACACTATACACTACTACACTACACTATACACTACTACACTACACTACACACTACACTATACACTACTACAACAGAGAGTCGGATAACATAACAGTCAACACCCTACCTGGTTGATTACGTTCTTCCTGAGAATGCTAAATTTGAGAGAGAGATAAAAACACAGAACCAGAAACATAGACAGACATATAAGCAGACAGATATCACAGAGATACTCCAAGCAGTTGCTCTTACCTGTGCAAAGTGGCGCATCTTGTCGTGGAAGTCGGCAAGAGCAGCCGCGTCCACAAGGCCTCTGTACGGTGACACGTGGGACAGCAAGGCTGCTTGGTCCAGGCCCGTGTAGGGCCTCAGGCCGGGGTCACCCATGTGGAGGGCCGCAATCAAACCGGGCAGCGGAAAGGCCGCGAGCACGGGACCGTTGCCGTAGCTGGAAGTGACCGTGTTCATTGTCGGCTTGTTCTCGTGTAAACGGTCAACGCCGTTGTTGCTCGACGAGCCGTCGGTCGCGCGAGAAGCACTCGAGTCCAGCTCGCCGTGCGATCTCTTCGCGCAAGTCAAGTCCAACGGCTCCTCTTGGCGCTCAACGCCGCTCGAATCGTGGAACTCGACAAAGCCCGTCTCTCCGAGGAGCCTCGCCGTGCTCAACTTTGGCAGCGACAAGTCGAGCGGCCGGGCCTGGTCTCGACCGCGGCGAGGACCGTCCGCCACGCCGGCGGGCTGCCCGCTCTCCGCGTGACCTGCCGCCGAGTCGGACCAGGCGCCCATCGGCGAGCCCGGCGGGTGCCGAGCCGGACTTCCCTCCGTGCCGTGGCCGGCGTGCCCAGCCGGTGCCGGTGACGGGCCGAGCTCGCGGGAGGGAGAGCCGGACGCACGGTGCTCCGGCGCTCTGCCCGCCGCGTTGAATTTCTCCTCCAGCCACTTGGAGAAAACGTCTCTGGGGAGGTTCATGGCCAACGACATCTTCATCGACTCCTCGGGACTCGCCTCGACACTTCCGGCAAGGCGGTACGACTTCAGGGAAGCCGACTGGTCTCCGAGTCCCGTAGCGCGGCTCCCTTTCAACCCCTTTCCGGCCGACGACTTCGACTTGTTTCGTTGAGCCGGAGACGAAGGTTGCGGCGCTGACGGTTGAGGCGACGCCTCGATCTCGTCGTTCACCTTGCAGAGGTAGCGCTCGTGTTGGCGCAGAGGTGCCGCGCTCGGAAACGGTTCGTGGCGATAGCGGCACGCGTGGCGAGCCGCCCCTTCCACGTGGGAAGAACGCTCGTGCAGATCCGGCTCTTCGGTCTCGATCTTGCCGGCGGGACGACCCGTGGCCTCCGGTCCGCTGATCCGCAGGAAGTCCTCGTTGTAGTCGTGACCTGAGCTCTGGGTGGATTTGGGAGACGTAGCAACGGCCCCTTCCATCTTGCCGGCGTCAGCCGTCGAGGCAGCGGCAACTGGAGATGTCGCCTCCCGCGCCGCGCCGTCCGCCGCGACGGAGCCCACGCACTTGTTGGCTCTCTTGTGCGAGCTGTACGAGCCCGAGTGGGAGAAGCGCTTCTTGCAAATTGGGCACCCGTACGGCTTCTCCCCTGGAAATTACAAACAAACACAGCGACGGCGGAGGTTTCCGGGTTACATCGCGTCAGTGTGAACGACGCGTCGTCAAAAAACCGACACGTCCGGTTCGTAAAGTTTGCGACGCGAAACACAACGTGCCGATTCGTTACACGAGCTCAGCACGCCGGCGTGCTGGAGAGTAAACCCACGATGTTAGCAATTCAAGTGCGGCGACGTTTCGCCAGTAACTACAACCAGCGTCATCAGGTGGGCAGCCAGAATTGTGGACGATATCGGTCGCGAAAGTCGCCGCGTCGAACCAAAACATTATAAACGCATCATCCAAAGTGCCGCGTGACGCGGCGAATGCGGCCTGCGCTGTAGACACACGCGCAGGAAGGAAATCACAGATTTGAAGCTTTCGTGACTGCAAGGATTCGTATTCTTAGGTTTTTTCTGTAAAGTCACCGTGTAGGTAAAACATCAAAATTAATGAAAATAAAATAAAAATCACGACGTTTCGGAGGCAACACAAGTCTCCGTCATCAGGTGGGACCGTCACAGCCGGATTAGCTGCATCAAGTCGTGATTTTTATTTTATTTTCATTAATTTTGATGTTTTACCTATACAGTGACTTTACCGAAGAAACCTAAGAATATGAAGGAAATCACGTCGGTGGGTGCGTTCTGCCAAACGTCGCAATGTGTTCCACACTCACCGCTGTGGATGCGGAAGTGTTCCTTGAGGTGGTGTTTGCTCTTGAAGTCTCTCCCACACTCTGCGCACTTGTGGCTCGTGGCAGCGGGACGCTGACCCTTCTGCGCAAAGATGGAACAGAGGTGCGAAGTGAAAATCACGAATCGGATGAGCTATGAAGCTCTTCAGCACAGGCGTTGCGTAGGGACGAGTAAGAGCGACTCCGCAAGCAGCTCAATGATGCGTCGCGACGACGCGTCGCGGTTCAAACTCCTTTCCCCCGCACACATTCAGACAGACACATTCAGACGGACGCATTCAGACGGACGCATTCAGACGGACGCATTCAAACGGACGCATTCAGACGGACGCATTCAGACAGACGCATTCAGACAGACGCATTCAGACAGACACATTCAGACGGACACATTCAGACAGACGCATTCAGACAGACGCATTCAGACGGACGCATTCAGACGGACACAGACGGACACATTCAGACGCACACAGACGGACACATTCAGACGGACGCATTCAGACGGACACATTCAGACAGACGCATTCAGACGCACACATTCAGACATACACATTCAGACAGACGCATTCAGACGGACACATTCAGACAGACGCATTCAGACAGACACATTCAGACGGACACATTCAGACAGACGCATTCAGACAGACGCATTCAGACGGACACATTCAGACAGACGCATTCAGACGGACGCATTCAGACATACACATTCAGACAGACGCATTCAGACGGACGCATTCAGACGGACGCATTCAGACGGACGCATTCAGACGGACGCATTCAGACAGACACATTCAGACAGACGCATTCAGACGGATGCATTCAGACGGACGCATTCAGACGGACACAGACGGACACATTCAGACGCACACAGACGGACACATTCAGACGGACGCATTCAGACGGACGCATTCAGACGGACACATTCAGACGGACACATTCAGACGGACACATTCAGACAGACACATTCAGACAGACGCATTCAGACAGATGCATTCAGACAGACACATTCAGACAGACACATTCAGACAGACGCATTCAGACAGACGCATTCAGACGGACGCATTCAGATGGACGCATTCAGACAGACACATTCAGACAGACGCATTCAGACGGACACATTCAGACGCACACATTCAGACATACACATTCAGACAGACGCATTCAGACGGACGCATTCAGATGGACGCATTCAGACAGACACATTCAGACAGACGCATTCAGACAGACGCATTCAGACGGACGCATTCAGACGGACACATTCAGACAGACACATTCAGACAGACGCATTCAGACAGACGCATTCAGACAGACGCATTCAGACGGACGCATTCAGACGGACACATTCAGACGGACGCATTCAGACAGACACATTCAGACAGACGCATTCAGACGGACGCATTCAGACGGACGCATTCAGACGGACGCATTCAGACGGACACATTCAGACGGACGCATTCAGACAGACGCATTCAGACGGACGCATTCAGACGGACACATTCAGACGGACACATTCAGACGGACGCATTCAGACAGACGCATTCAGACAGACGCATTCAGACGGACGCATTCAGATGGACACATTCAGACGGACGCATTCAGACAGACACATTCAGACAGACGCATTCAGACGGACGCATTCAGACGGACGCATTCAGACGGACGCATTCAGACGGACGCATTCAGACAGACACATTCAGACAGACGCATTCAGACGGATGCATTCAGACGGACGCATTCAGACGGACACAGACGGACACATTCAGACGCACACAGACGGACACATTCAGACGGACGCATTCAGACGGACGCATTCAGACGGACACATTCAGACGGACACATTCAGACGGACACATTCAGACAGACACATTCAGACAGACGCATTCAGACAGATGCATTCAGACAGACACATTCAGACAGACACATTCAGACAGACGCATTCAGACAGACGCATTCAGACAGACACATTCAGACACATTCAGACAGACACATTCAGACAGACACATTCAGACGGACACATTCAGACGGACGCATTCAGACGGACGCATTCAGACGGACGCATTCAGACGGACACATTCAGACAGACACATTCAGACAGACGCATTCAGACAGAGGCATTCAGACAGACGCATTCAGACAGACACATTCAGACACATTCAGACAGACACATTCAGACAGACACATTCAGACGGACACATTCAGACGGACGCATTCAGACGGACACATTCAGACGGACACATTCAGACGTGCGACGATGCCGGCAAACGGGGGTTAGTCAGTCACCTGGCCCGCCCGGGGAGGTCGCGGTGATTTGTGGAGATCCGCGAGGGCCCCCTCGTGCCGGCGGCGAACGTGCTTCCACAGCGAGCCCCGACGCTTGTAGCCGCGGCCGCAGTGAGGGCACGCCAGCGGCAGCAGCGGCGGCAGCGGCAGCGGCGCGGCAAATGAGACGGGAGTCCTCGGGCCTAGCGGGGAGGCACGGGGCGAGGGGGCCGCTGGTGGTGCGTGAAGAGACGACGCAATCCCACCGATGTGACGGACCGCTGTCGAGTTTGGTGGTCCGTGTTGTTCACGTCGTCTGTCGTGAACATTCGGTCACGGTTGCTACGATCGCTGTTTCATTGCTTTTATGGCCAAGCGTGGTGGTGTTTTCTTTTAGACGCTGTCGCCTCGACAGACCTGTTCTTCACCTGAGGACGGCTGCTTGCGTTGTGGCCGAAACGTCGTGAGAATTATTTTATTGTGTTTTATTTTTTTTATTTTATTACTTCCCTTCTACGTGGCGACTTTACCGAAAGAACCAAGAAGATTTTATGGCTTTGTTTTGGTGATTTTCGAAAAGTGTTTTTTGGTTTGGCCGTGTTTTGTTTGTTGTAGTACGGAGTAAGACTGACGGCCTCAATCTAAGTTGCACGCCTCCCTCTCATTCCGCTTCTCACTCTGCGAATGCGTCGCTTAACGGAGATGCCACCGCCTGCGTTGGCAAATACGGCATTGCCGGGCGTCTTGCGACGCCGCTGCCGCAAGCGTGGCACGCCCGGCTCTGGTTGGCCCACCCCGAAGCGCCGAACGTAACGATCGCTTGGTGAAGTTAGCCGCGATCCAGAATGGCGTGTGGACACGTGGCCCAGGGGTAGACAAAGTGGCTCGCAATCGGGAGGCTGCGAATTCAAATCGTCATTTGGGGATGGGAAGTCGATTCAGCCCGTCACGCTTTGGTCTCCCCCGCCATGGGAATGTGAAATTCCCACCAGTGGCAATGAATCGGTGTATAGTGTAGTGTATAGTAGTGTAGTGTATAGTGTAGTGTATAGTGTAGTGTATAGTGTAGTGTATAGTGTAGTGTATAGTGTAGTGTATAGTGTAGTGTATAGTAGTGTAGTGTATAGTGTAGTGTATAGTGTAGTGTGTAGTGTAGTGTATAGTAGTGTAGTGTATAGTGTAGTGTATAGTAGTGTAGTGTACAGTGCAGTGTATAGTGTAGGTGTTATAGTAGTTGTAGTGTATAGTTGTAGTGTTATTATAGTGTAGGTGTCTAGTTTGTAATGTACAGTGCAGTGTATAGTGTAGTGTATAGTGTATGTGCTATAGTGTAGTGTATAGTGTAGTGTTATAGGTAGTTGTATGTGTATAGTGTAGTGTATAGTGTAGTGTATAGTGTAGTGTATAGTGTAGTGTATAGTGTAGTGTATAGTGTAGTGTATAGTAGTGTAGTGTATAGTGTAGTGTATAGTGTCGTGTGTTGTAGTGTAAGTGTATTAGTAGTGTAGTGTATAGTGTAGTGTATAGTAGGTAGTGCTACAGTGCATGTATAGTGTAGTGTATAGTAGTGTAGTGTATAGTGTAGTGTATAGTGTAGTGTATAGTGTAATGTACAGTGCAGTGTATAGTGTAGTGTATATGTAGTGTATAGTGTAGTGTATAGTGTAGTGTATAGTAGTGTGTGTTATAGTGTAGTGATAGGTAGTGTAGTGTATAGTGTAGTGTATAGTAGTAGTGTATAGTGTATGTAGTAGGTAGTGTATAGTGTAGGGTATTAAGAGTGTTAGTGTATAGTGTAGGTACAGTGCAGGTCTAGTGTAGTGTATAGGGTAGTGTATAGTGTAGTGTATAGTTTAGTGTATAGTGTAGTGTGTAGTGTAGTGTACAGTGTAGTGTGTAGTGTATAGTGTAGTGTATAGTGTAGTGTATAGTGCAGTGTATAGTGTAGTGTATAGTGTAGTGTATAGTGTAGGTATAGTGAGTGTATAGTGTAGTGTAGTAGTGTATAGTGTAGTGTATAGTGTAGTGTATAGTGTAGTGTATCGTAGTGTATAGTGTAGTGTATAGTGTAGTGTATAGTGTAGTGTATAGTGTAGTGTATAGTGTAGTGTATAGTGTAGTGTATCGTGTAGTGTTAGTGTAGTGTACAGTGCAGTGTATAGTGTAGTGTATAGTGTAGTGTATAGTGTAGTGTATAGTAGTGTAGTGTATAGTGTAGTGTATAGTGTAGTGTTAAGTGTAGTGTACAGTGCAGTGTATAGTGTAGTGTATAGTGTAGTGTATAGTGTAGTGTATAGTGTAGTGTAGTAGTGTATAGTGTAGTGTATAGTGTAGTGTATAGTAGTGTAGTGTATAGTGTAGTGTTATGTAGTGTATAGTGTAGTGTACAGTGCAGTGTATAGTGTAGTGTATAGTGTAGTGTATAGTGTAGTGATAGTGTAGTGTAGTAGTGTATAGTGTGTATAGTGTAGTGTATAGTGTAGTGTATAGTGTAGTGTAGTGTAGTGTACAGTGTATAGTGTAGTGTATAGTGTAGTGTATAGTAGTGTAGTGTATAGTGTAGTGTATAGTGTAGTGTATAGTGGTGTAGTGTATAGTGTAGTGTATAGTGTAGGATAGTGTAGTGTACAGTGCAGTGTATAGTGTAGTGTATAGTGTAGTGTATAGTGTAGTGTATAGTGTAGTGTAGTAGTGTATAGTGTAGTGTATAGTGTAGTGTATAGTGTAGTGTATAGTGCAGTGTATAGTGTAGTGTATAGTGTAGTGTATAGTGTAGGTATAGTGTAGTGTAAGTAGTGTAGTGTATAGGTAGGTTTAGTGTAGTGTATAGTAGTGTAGTGTATAGTGTAGTGTATAGTGTAGTGTTAGGTGTAGTGTATAGTGTAGTGTATAGTGTAGTGTATAGTAGTGTAGTGTATAGTGTAGTGTATAGTGTAGTGTATAGTAGTGTAGTGTATAGTGTAGTGTATAGTGTAGTGTAGTAGTGTATAGTGTAGTGTATAGTGTAGTGTATAGTAGTGTAGTGTATAGTGTAGTGTATAGTGTAGTGTATAGTAGTGTAGTGTATAGTGTAGTGTATAGTGTAGTGTATAGTAGTGTAGTGTATAGTGTAGTGTATAGTGTGTGTAGTAGTGTATAGTGTAGTGTATAGTGTAGTGTATAGTAGTGTAGTGTAGTGTAGTGTATAGTGTAGTGTTATAGTAGTGTAGTGTATAGTGTGGTATAGTGTAGTGTATAGTAGTGTATAGTGTAGTGTATAGTGTAGTGTATAGTAGTGTAGTGTATAGTGTGTATAGTGTAGTGTATAGTAGTGTAGTGTATAGTGTAGTGTATAGTGTAGTGTATAGTAGTGTAGTGTATAGTGTAGGGTATAGTGTAGTGTAGTAGGTAGTGTATAGTGTAGTGTATAGTGTAGTGTATAGTAGTGTAGTGTATAGTGTAGTGTATAGTGTAGTGTATAGTAGTGTAGTGTATAGTGTAGTGTATAGTGTAGTGTAGTTAGTGTATAGTGTAGTGTATAGTGTAGTGTATAGTAGTGTAGTGTAAGTGTAGTGTATAGTGTAGTGTATAGTAGTGTAGTGTATAGTGTAGTGTATAGTGTAGTGTATAGTAGTGTAGTGTATAGTGTAGTGTATAGTGTAGTGTAGTAGTGTATAGTGTAGTGTATAGTGTAGTGTAGTAGTAGTGTGAGGTATAGTGTAGTGTATAGTGTAGTGTATAGTAGTGTAGTGTATAGTGTAGTGTATAGTGTAGTGTATAGTAGTGTAGTGTCTATAGTGTAGTGTTAGTGTAGTAGTAGTTAGTGTATATGTAGTGTATAGTGTAGTGGTTAGTGTATAGTGTAGTGTATAGTGTAGTGTATAGTAGTGCAGTGTATAGTGTAGTGTATAGTGTAGTGTATAGTGTAGTGTACAGTGTAGTGTATAGTGTAGTGTATAGTGTAGTGTATAGTGTAGTGTATAGTGTAGTGTAGTAGTGTAGTGTAGTAGTGTATAGTGTAGTGTATAGTGTAGTGTATAGTGTAGTGTATAGTGTAGTGTATAGTGTAGTGTGTAGTGTAGTGTATAGTGTAGTGTGTAGTGTATAGTGTAGTGTATAGTGTAGTGTATAGTGTAGTGTAGTAGTGTATAGTGTAGTGTATAGTGTAGTGTAGTAGTGTATAGTGTAGTGTATAGTGTAGTGTATAGTGTAGTGTATAGTGTAGTGTATAGTGTAGTGTATAGTGTAGTGTACAGTGTAGTGTGTAGTGTATAGTGTAGTGTATAGTGTAGTGAATCGGTACCCAGTGAGACGATCACAGCTGCCTCAATGCTCCCTGGGGCAGAACATAAACTCTGTGGATTTAGTTCTTGTTGTTAAGTCGACAAATGCTGCTACAAACGTGTTTTTTTCGATTTAAAGCTTTCGTGACTGCAGGGATTCATCTTCTTGGTTCATTCGGTAAAGTCACGTAGAAGGGAAATAATAAAATAATAAATATAAAACATAATAAAATAAAATAATTCTCACGACGTTTCGGCCACAACGCAAGCAGCCGTCCTCAGGTGGAGAACAGGTCTGTCGGGAAGACAGAAGACAGACCTGTTCTTCACCTGAGGACGGCTGCTTGCGTTGTGGCCGAAACGTCGTGAGAATTATTTTATTTTATGTTTAATTTTTATTATTTTATTACTTCCATTCTACGCGATTTTACCGACAGACCTGTTCTTCACCTGAGGATGGCTGCTTGCGTTGTGGCCGAAACGTCGTGAGAATTATTTTATTTTATGTTTAATTTTTATTATTTTATTACTTCCATTCTACGTGATTTTACCGACAGACCTGTTCTTCACCTGAGGATGGCTGCTTGCGTTGTGGCCGAAACGTCGTGAGAATAATTTAATTATGTTTTATTTTTATTATTTTATTATTTCCCTTCTACGTGACTTTACCGAAAGAACCAAGGTGTTTTTTTTCCTTTCATTTTAAACACAACGCTAACAACTACGCTGTGAAGTGTGAGCACGTGCGCTCTTACCGCCACCGCCACCACCACCACCACCACCGCCGCCACCACCGCCACCACCACCACCGCCACCACCACCGCCACCACCGTCACCACCACCACCGCCACCACCACCACGGCGAGTGGCCCCACTGCCCGGCACATCGCACTCCGCCAACGTCCCGTCCTGCGCACTGCCCAGCGGCTCGGCAGTCTTGTCCACGCCGGGATTGACGTCGCGATTTCCGCCGGTCCCCTCGAAATTCGTCTCGTCATCCTCCGCCGCCGCCGCCGCCTCCACCTCGTCTTTCTCCTCCTCTGCGTCCACCTCCTCGATGATCTGCAGCCTCTCCTCCTCGGCGTCGTCCGGGTCGCGGTCTCGCATCGCCGCGCTCGCGTAGCTCGCCACTGCGACCGAGCAGAGCGGCGCGTCAACGCGTTTTGCCGACGGTTTTACCTTCAAGGGTGTCACTCAAAGGAAACAACCAGGAGGGCAACTGTGGTGGACATTGCTTCACGCTCGCTTCTAAAGATCCATTGCTTTGTTATTTTGATGTAAAGCTGCTTTCGTGACTGCAGGGATTCATCTTCTTGGTTCTTTCGGTAAAGTCGCGTAGAAGGGAAGTAATAATAATATTATATTATTATATTATTTTATTATGTTTTATTTTTATTATTTTATTACTTCCCTTCTACGTGACTTTACCGAAAGAACCAAGAAGATGCTTTATTATTATTAATATATTCTCCCCCCTCCCGCCCCCCTCCCATTCCCAGCGTGTGGTCTAGCACATCCGACACAAACATAATTATTTTTCACCTACGTGACTTTACCGAAAAAACCTAAGAGTATGAATCCTTGCAGTCACGAAAGCTTCAATTCTAGAACATCATCACATCGGCAGCGAGGATGACCTGGCGAGACTGACGCCACGTGCTTTGCCAAGGCCAGTTTTGTTTTTCTCCCGCCCTCCCACCAATGGCTTAGGTCTGTGAATAAACTTTTACGTTGCGGGCAGAGGTCACAAACGGGTTTTGATTCCTTACCCGTACCCGGCCGCACCAGGTTCGCAAATGGGTACCCGTACCCAGCCGGGTACGGGTACCCGTTCCCTACCCGTACCCATACCCTACCCGAAATGAGTGAGAAACGGTTACTCACCAGTGACTCACGGCCTACCCGTACCCGTACCCGGCCGCACCAGGGTCGCAAACGGCTACCCGTACCCGGCTGGGTACGGGTAGCCGGGTATCGGGTAGGGTACGGGTATCGGGTACCCGGTTGCGTCCTGTGGTTGCGGGGGATCTGTGTGCCTATGAGGAAGTGTTCCTGCATGCGGCAAAGACTAATTCCATGCCGTAATGGCTGACCATTCACGGTTACAGCAACGCACGGCGTTGCCACGTCTTCCACGTTTTGTTTGGGGGGGTTTTCTTATCCCGAAAAAGTTCACTTAATTTTCCGAGCGTACGCGTATTTTTCACCGTTGCTGAAAAAATATCACTAAAAATGAACACCGCTTGTGCGGATTGAATGTAACAACAATTCACAGCGTAACCAGTGAGACGGTTCGATTGAAAAAAGAACGTATCCTTGACTGCATTCGCTCCCCACGTGTCACTGTCACGGACCGCAGGATTTCCACGCTCAACCCACGTTTTTGGGAAGTCAACAATTGTCGCCCGATGGATAGACTTGCTTGCGCCACTGAACTAAATGATAAAAAAATACTTTTATTTTACCAGCTAGGTCCCACTGAGCTATAAACAGCTCTTTGTCAGAAGCGACCTGGCCATAAATGACAACTCAATGAAGTGGCTTAATCATGTGGAAATGTACAGCAGACAAATACTCCAAACGCGTGACGTTGATTCTAAATGTGGAGGGAAAAACCCGAGGACCTGGAAAAAAATCCACGCAACCACGGGGCAGAACTTGCAAACTCCAAATATATTGAGCCCACGACCTCCTGTATACAGAGATGAACAGAGCCACAATGGCTCATGTGATCACAGAGACCACTCCACCAATTAACGTTACAAAAAATACAACTTTCAACACCCTGATAATTTTCAAATCTTTTTTTTAGCCAGGTAGGTGAGCGATGCGTTTCCTGAGCTACGAGCGTTTTTTATTTCTCTGCCGTGATAAAGAAAGCGCCTGGATCCGTTACGATGCCGGAAATGCGGTTCCCCACACTCACCTCAAACACAGTCGCAATACAGAAATGCGCAAAAGTTATCCGACGGTGGTTTCATTATCTACGTTAATGTCAAACGTATCTTCTGGCCACCTTCAGCCCCCAATACCTGGCAAAACCATCCGTGCAAGTACTGAGCACAGATTTTCAACGTTTGTACGGTATACGTGTCAATTCATGTACGCTTTATATGTGGCGACTGACACCCTGGACAACCTTGCAAATGAGATGTTCCATCTCGAGGGATTATCCACAGCTTTTGTGTACGTTTATAGCAGCCAAATACTCTGAACGGATGTTGATTCTAAACGTAGAGGTAAAAACCAGATGACCCGGAGACAAATCCACACGCCACCATGGGGAGAACACGCAAACTCCAAATATACAATAAGCGTCAGGGTCGGGATCGAACCCACGACCTCCTGTATACCAGGCGAGGTAGCTAACATCTCCTAGCCACCGTGATGATGATGAGAGACACGCAAACTCCAAATATACAGCAGCAGGCGTCAGGGTCGGGATCGAACCCACGACCTCCTGTATACCAGGCGAGGTAGCTAACATCTCCTAGCCACCGTGATGATGATGAGAGAGAGACACGCAGACTCCAAATACACAGCAGCAGACGTCAGGGTCGGGATCGAACCCACGACCTCCTGTATACCAGGCGAGGTAGTCAACATCTCCTAGCCACCGTGCTGATGATGATGATGATAAAGACACGCAAACTCCAAATATACAGCAGCAGGCATCAGGGTTGGTGATCGAACCCATGACCTCCTGCACACCAGGCGAGGTAGTCAACATCTCCTAGCGACCGTGATGATGATGATGATGATGATAAAGACACGCAAACTCCAAATAAACAGCAGCAGGCATCAGGGTTGGTGATCGAACCCATGACCTCCTGTATACCAGGCGAGGTAGTCAACATCTCCTAGCCACCGTGATGATGATGATGATGATGATAAAGACACGCAAACTCCAAATATACAGCAGCAGGCGTCAGGGTCGGGATCCAACCCACGACCTCCTGTACACCAGGCGAGGTAGTCAACATCTCCTAGACACCGTGATGATGATGATGATGATAAAGACACGCAAACTCCAAATATACAGCAGCAGGCGTCAGGGTCGGGATCCAACCCACGACCTCCTGCACACCAGGCGAGGTAGTCAACATCTCCTAGCGACCGTGATGATGATGATGATGATAAAAACACGCAAACTCCAAATAAACAGCAGCAGGCATCAGGGTTGGTGATCGAACCCATGACCTCCTGTATACCAGGCGAGGTAGTCAACATCTCCTAGCCACCGTGATGATGATGATGATGATAAAGACACGCAAACTCCAAATATACAGCAGCAGGCGTCAGGGTCGGGATCCAACCCACGACCTCCTGTACACCAGGCGAGGTAGTCAACATCTCCTAGACACCGTGATGATGATGATGATAAAGACACGCAAACTCCAAATATACAGCAGCAGGCGTCAGGGTCGGGATCCAACCCACGACCTCCTGCACACCAGGCGAGGTAGTCAACATCTCCTAGCGACCGTGATGATGATGATGATGATAAAGACACGCAAACTCCAAATAAACAGCAGCAGGCATCAGGGTTGGTGATCGAACCCATGACCTCCTGTATACCAGGCGAGGTAGTCAACATCTCCTAGCCACCGTGATGATGATGATGATGATAAAGACACGCAAACTCCAAATATACAGCAGCAGGCGTCAGGGTCGGGATCCAACCCACGACCTCCTGTACACCAGGCGAGGTAGTCAACATCTCCTAGACACCGTGATGATGATGATGATAAAGACACGCAAACTCCAAATATACAGCAGCAGGCGTCAGGGTCGGGATCCAACCCACGACCTCCTGTACACCAGGCGAGGTAGTCAACATCTCCTAGCCACCGTGATGATGATGATGATGATAAAGACACGCAAACTCCAAATAAACAGCAGCAGGCATCAGGGTTGGTGATCGAACCCATGACCTCCTGTATACCAGGCGAGGTAGTCAACATCTCCTAGCCACCGTGATGATGATGATGATGATAAAGACACGCAAACTCCAAATATACAGCAGCAGGCATCAGGGTTGGTGATCGAACCCATGACCTCCTGCACACCAGGCGAGGTAGTCAACATCTCCTAGCCACCGTGATGATGATGATGATGATAAAGACACGCAAACTCCAAATATACAGCAGCAGGCATCAGGGTTGGTGATCGAACCCATGACCTCCTGCACACCAGGCGAGGTAGTCAACATCTCCTAGCCACCGTGATGATGATGATGATAAAGACACGCAAACTCCAAATAAACAGCAGCAGGCATCAGGGTTGGTGATCGAACCCATGACCTCCTGCACACCAGGCGAGGTAGTCAACATCTCCTAGACACCGTGATGATGATGAGAGAGAGAGAGACACGCAAACTCCAAATATACAACAAGCGTCAGGGTTGGTGATCGAACCCACGACCTCCTGCGTACCAGGCGAGGTAGTCAACATCTCCTAGCCACTGCAGCAACCCAATCTCAATGTTCATCAAGGGCTCTTGTATGGTGCCATTAAAAAACAAAACAGCATTCGTATTCTTATTAACCAGCGCTTACAATAGAGTCAATAGTTAGTTGGCAAGGTTCAAGTTCAAGTTCATTGATTAGCTATAGCCCTGTGAGCCATTCGGCTCTTGAAGGTGGTGACTGTGTTATTGCTGTACGGTAGTGACACAGGAACAGAGCTGATCGACCCTCGGGGATCGATACACAAACGAGGGGTGGGATGGTGAGGCTGGTCAGCGACTTGTGGCTTCCTTGTGGCTAAACTCACGCCATGGGAATGTGGAATTTCCACGTGCTTCTCGACGCTTCTCTGAGGTTGAAATTTTATTGTTTTAAACCGATATTATTGGGACATTAGCGACTAAGTTTTTTTCAACAGAAACTTCTTATATTATTTCCCTTCTACGTGACTTTACCGAAAGAACCAAGAATGTGAATCCCTGCAGTCACGAAAGCTTTAAATCGAAACAACCACAACAACACAGCAAGATGGAAGATATTTAACACGATGTTATATTTAAATAATCTAACACCACCACACAACTACAACAACACAACAACAACACAACTACAACAACAACCACAACAACACAACAACGCAGCAAGATGATGGCAGATATTTAACACGTTTTATTTAAACAATCTAACAACTGCACCACAACACAACACAACAACATGGCAGATATTGAACACGATGTTATATTTAAACAATCTAACACAACCACCACAACAACAACACAACACAACAACAACAACACAAGATGGAAGATATTTAACACGATGTTATATTTAAACAATCTAACAACACAACCACCACCACCACAACAACAACAACCACAACACAACAACCACAACAACACAACAACCACAACAACACAACAACCACAACAACACAGCAATATGATGGCAGATATTTGTCACGATGTTATATTTAAACAATCTAACAACACAACCACCACCACCACAACAACAACAACCACAACAACAACACAACAACCACAACAACACAGCAATATGATGGCAGATATTTGTAACGATGTTCATATTTAAACAATCTAACACCACCACCACAACAACAACCACAACAAGATGGCAGATATTTGTCACGATGTTATATTTAAACAATCTAACACCACCACACCACCACAACAGCAAGATGGCAGATATTTGTCATACAAGTCTTTACTTACTTCGTGTTAAACTGCAGTGTTCGTTACTGGGCTGCAACGCCACCTACTCACAACAACAACACAACAACAACAACACAACAACAACAACACAACAACTACAACATGGACAAGCTCACACGAGAGTTGGGGAGAACTTAGCAGCAGCAGCAACAACAACAACACAACAACATGGACACTGGCGAATTGAATTGTCATTTGATATTTGAGCCCAGCCACTTACTGCCACCCAGTGGCTTCTGCTAAGCGCTGCTGTTGGAGTGCAAGATGACAAATCTGACCACAGCCTGGGGCACAATGGCCCATCATCATCATCATAAGCCCTTTAATAAGCATGGCCGTTGACCCTGCAGGCCACTGACCG